CGTTGTCGTCGACGCCTTGACGCTCTTTGAGACCAACATGGAGATCGGGGAGTACTTCAACGCCTTCCCCAGCGAGGTCCTCCCGATTTTCGACAGCGCGCTGCGCCGGGCTGCCCTGGCAGCGCTGGAGGCCGCCGCGGCCCCTCCCCAGCTCAGCATGAAGCAGAACCTCCACACCAGGGTCTCGGGGGAGGGGGAGGCGGGGGCGGCGGCGAGGTGTCCCCAGGAGCGTCTCCTGGTCAGCACTGCCGATTTCTCTTATTCTGTAACAAACTATTGGGGGGGTCAAGGGAAGGAGTAAGTTTAATTCTTGCCCTTTCGGTGTTTAACGCAATAGCAAATGGCTGGTGTTTATTAAGCAGAAAAGAACACATGCAAACACATGTAGTTCTGTAGATCAACCCGGAAAAAAGCTGTGGACGTCCCTGGTGGCGTGCGTGCCCTGGTTGGCATTTGTTGCTGGGTCGGGACTTACACCAAAGCCTTTCCGTGGCAAAAAGACTCCTCAAATCAGCAGCTGGTCTCGCATTATTTCTGTTGGTAGCTGGAAGGTCTAAAGGAAAAAAAAAATATTTTAGGGGAAGATAACGCCAAGTTCACAGGTTCAGTCCCTGCTTACTGCAGGGGGGTTGGGCTCGATGATCTCTCAAGGTCCCTTCCAACCCAAAAGCATTCTATGATTCTATGATTCTAAATGTAGTTCATAGATTTTCTTGCAGGTTGACTTCCTTAACATGTTGGTTGGCTCATGGTCTTTATTGGTTCCAGCCATCTCCCAGAAGAGGCAAAGTCTAAATTTTGACTTGTCTTGTAACTATTTAATCTGAAATTGTGAAAGTTTATGCTTAACTAATTGTTATAAAATTGCTTTTTATAAAATTGGAATGAACTGTTAGAAGGCGTGATCGTTCATAGAGGATTTTGTCCTTTTTTTTCCTTACAAGTTGATACGCCATTATTCCTTATTACTAGGAAATTTTTAGTAGCTTTGAGGTGTGGTAAGTGTGGAGTGCAGGTTCTGGGGCTAAAATGCCTCTTTGGCCTGTTGTGGGGAGCTGGGTTGATGGTGCCACAGTCCCTTCTGGTCATTGCTGATTGTAACTATTTGGAGCTGCCTAGTCTGCAAAGCCAAGAGCTGGTGACGTGTGTTTCCCTCCCCTGCCCCGTGCTGGAGTGGTTTATGATCATTCAGTCTTTTGGCAGCTTGAACTTGGATGAGTCACAGTTGTTAAATAGATCTGTGTTTTGTCCCGGTAAGGTTCATTAAAAGTATTGTCATTAAGACACATATATCAAAATATAATTAGCCTGTGGCTCTCATAATGCTATTTTCTCAAGGTATTTAGGGGGAAAAAGAAAAAAGGCTTGCTACCTATTTAGGTGTTACAGAGCTGAGTATATGGTCTAAAAGGATGGCCTCTGTGTTGTGCTGAAATTTGAAATGTCAGGCATTTCCCTGTACCTATAAAAGTTGGAGTGAAATAAATCTTTACCCCTAGGGTTCCAGGATGCATTTGTATCATTCAGGGCTTCAGCATAAAAACGGAGTTATTTTTACTCCAAGAATGATTGTTTTATAAGCTACCAGGAAGTATTAGGAGGAGTAAAGCAAGAGGCAGATGATTGCTGCATGAGTAGCGGTGTCTTTAAGACATTCCTGCTTCTATTATCCGCCTGTTACTGGAGCTGACCATTCCTCCCACAGGGATGTTTTGTCTGAGTATTCCCTAATCAACCTCAGGCAAACTTAGGCGCGTTTGATCAAATAGTTTTAATAATTGATAAAAGCAAGTCTGACTGATCATTGATGGAAAAAGTTAGTTGTCAGACTCACAAATTACTCCATCACTAAACAGGAGGGAAACTGATGAAGAGCAGGGGGTGGTTATGCTTGTGTGGTCCAGCTGGATCAAAAGAACATCTGTCCATCTAGTTTGGCTCACGTTCTGTACCACCGAAAGGCTGGCTGCTGAAGAAGCAAAAGCAATAAGCTAAATGATCTGTAGGCTTTTTTCCGCCCAAATTTTCCCATGATAGTGTTACCTTTTAGGTGGATGCTGGGTTGTGATTACTTTCAGGATTCTCATCTTGGAGTGACACTTTCTGTTCCCATGTCAGACAGGAATGAGGCGAATCATAGAATCATAGAATGCTTTGGGTTGGAAGGGACCTTTAGAGGTCATCTAGCCCAACCCCCCTGCAGTGAGCAGGGACAGCTTTAACCAGATCAGGTTGCTCAGAGCCCCGTCCAACCTCACCTTCAATGTTGCCACGGATGGGGCCTCCACTACCTCTCTGGGCAACCTGTTCCAGTGCTTCACTACCCTCATGGTAAAAAATTTCTTTCTTATAACCAGTCTAAATCTATTCTTCTTTACTTTAAACCCATTATTCCTTGTCCTGTCACAACAGGCCTTGCTAAAAAGATTGCCCCCATCCTTCCTGTAGGCCCCCTTTAAGTACTGGAAGGCCGCAATAAGGTCTCCTCGCAGCCTTCTCTTCTCCAGGCTGAACAACCCCAACTCTCTCAGCCTGGCCTCATAGGAGAGGTGCTCCAGCCCCCGGATCATTTGTGCTCGTCTTGGTGGGAGCAGCAGGCAACTAGCTGGAGTGGGGCCGAGGGGATCTGCGTGTCAGGCATGGACCGAAGTGAGGAAGAGTGTTTTTGCTTATGCTAGGTATAAGAATGCAATCTTAGCACACTTGTACCAGCATGGACAGGGCACCTAGGAGTTCAAAGGAGGACTGAGGGAGTGTGAATATGCAGTGATTAATAATGGGTGATTACCCCAGGTTCACTGAAGAAAGTAAACAATGAAGTTCTTTATCTGTATTTTAGCATTGTACAAATTTGTATAACTTCTCCTTTTGCTGCAAATCCATGAAAAGATTTTTCCTTACTTACTGTTAGCCTGAGCACCGCTGTGTCTGTTACTGAGGGCCAGGCTGCTTCTAATAGTTCAGGTTTAAATGTTATTACTAATACAGTAAAGCTGATTCAAAGAGGCACATACTCAATTAAAGAGTTTGTCAAGCAGTCTGATATGATCAGAAAGAAGGCTTTTTTCTTCCCTGTCCAGATTCTTGTCTCTCCAACATTCACAGAGGTGATCATATCATATATCCTGACAACAGTGCTGCAGCTCTCTCTAGTGTAAGATGTGTTGTATTTTGCAAAGGTTGTTGAGCTGCACCAATACTGAGCTGGGGAAAAAAAGATGCCAAAACGCTTGGAAAAATAATGGTTTTATGTTTTTTCGCCTGAACTGAATAGAAATGCAAACCTGTGGGAGAAAAAGAATTTTCAGCAGGTTTGATAGAATATGTAAATAGCTTTGTTACAGTCAACCAGAAAGATTTGTTTGCAGTTCTACATAATACTTTATTTCTTTTCCTGATTATTTAATTGCTTTCTACTTTTTTTTTTACTTTATTCTTTTACCTTTTAAAATTAGCTTAATATTTAAAAATACTTTCTTTAAACAAAAGCAAAAGGTCAAACACTTTGCTTAAAAGCATCAAAACGGAATGTTTCAGCATGTCTGAAGCAAGCATTTGGTTTTGAAAACACTGAAATAAATATATGATGTCTTTTTTTTTCACAGCCAAAGCTAATGAAATAAATATATGATGTGGGGTTTTTTTAGCAGCCAAAGCTAATGAGGAGATTTGACCTAAATGCACAAATAGTTTTGGTCCCCCTAAAAACATCATTTTCCAGCAGATTTATTTTTTTACATCTCTTGTTTCCTAACTATTTTGGAGGTAAAGCTAAGAAATTATTTTAACAGCAGGTAATTTCTTTTTCAGTTAATAATTATTAGTATCTTGTAGTCCATAATAGTAACTTCTTAAGAGGGAATATTTTGATGCTATTCTCAGGTGTGTGTTTCAGAGACCATTTATTTTTATAAAGGCTTTGTAGGCTGTAAGGTAGATTAATCTTCCTGAGGATTTCAGCCGCTGTGGTGCTAAGTGGTGGCCGCACAGGTGAACGCCGGAGCAGGATCAGTGCACCACAGAACTGGCTGGTGGGGTGGAATTAAAGGAGAGCAAGTGCCATGAAAATGTTCTGTCGCTATTCATTTGAACGTGCAAGTGAATTTGCTTTGGTTTGCATTCATAACCCCCTTTATATTCTTTTTATGCCTTCTTCCTTGTGCTTGAGGTTTACTGGTATGCAATGTGGATTTAAGGTCAAATGCTCACACACTATGAATTTTAAACTTGCTTAGACTTGAGAATTCACACAAGATTAGGAGTTACACTTGTTTAAATGTCAGAATAACATTGAACCACAATTAAGTAGCGTAACAAATTTTGTAATTCAGATAAACAAATTGTAGAATAAATGGCATTTGGCAACAGATCATTTAAATTAATAAATAGATCTGAGAACGTCAGGATCTATTTCCTTGAATGGAAAGTGCTCATGATTATTCAGCCCTTGGCAAGACCAGGAGAGTAAAATGTCAACAGTTTCTGTTAGTGTTCAGCATCTGATGTTTTTCACCATCTGAGGCCAGTGAATCAGATGTATGGTACAACAGATGAATTGTTGAATCACATTTATGAACCAGTAATAACAATGGCTACTGTTAATATGTCTGGCATTTTTTCTAGTCTTTCTGTTTAACTGCATTGTAAGTCCATGTTTTATATGCATAGCCTTATCCTACACATATTTTTGTTTAACAGGTTTGCCTGTTTGCCCAGAGCTGACTCGAGAGCACATTCCTAAAACCAGGGATGTGGGTCACTTTTTGTCTGTTACTGGGACTGTCATACGTACCAGTTTGGTGAAAGTTTTGGAGTTTGAACGGAGTTATATCTGCGATAAGTGCAAGCACGTGTTTGTCGTCAAGGCTGACTTTGAACAGTACTACGCGTTCTGTCGTCCATCAGCCTGTCTTAATGAAGAAGGCTGCAAGTCAACCAAGTTCACGTGTCTCTCTGGAACAACCTCTTCTACCTGCTGCAGAGACTATCAAGAAATCAAAATTCAGGAACAGGTAAAAAAAAAAAATAAGATGGAGAAAAAGGGGAGGGTATTAAGGTATAGATGTCTCAAGTACAAAAAGAATCAACTTACTGAAGAAGGCATTTGAGGGCTTAATTTCCTGCTGGAATAAGGTAACTTCGCTAATTTTAGTGAAACTGTTCATGCTTACATCAGAATTAGGTTGTTGATTAGGCTTCCGTTATTAGGTAACTCCATTCCAGACAGTACAAAACACCCGGGATTAGTACATAGGTTAAATCTCCATAATGAATCCATGTAACACCAAGTTTGCGTTGTTTCTCCAAGGACTAAAGCTAGCCCAGCGGTGGCCAAGGCCAGCTGTAGCAGTGCAGTGTGGTCGATACACAGTGTCTGCAAATGTCTGTTCCCTTCAACCAATATTGAATTCAGTAATAATTGAATATGTCCTCCTTACAGAATTTGCGTTTGTTTTTCTGAAGGTAGTCCTGGGTGGAAGTACAGCTAAGCTGGAGGAGTAAGAAACTATCGTGCCTCTTTTTATGGTAGCGCATAACTAAGACAAAACTGGCACAAGAAAATCTATACTGTATGAAAATTGAGAATAAGTAGGGTATATTGCAGGCAATGTTTCTGTGTTTATTTATATGTTCAGTGTCTTTCATAAATCTTTTCTAAGATCTCTTCAGTTGTTTCAGGGTTTTGATTTTATAAATTAAGAGTATAGTAGTGCCAATCTACATGCAAAATGTATGAAAACAAATGTATGAAATTAGAAATGAAGCTCTTTAAAGTTCAGAATAGCAAAAAGTAAGGGAATAAAACTGGTTCTAGGAAATAAGCCCTATGCTGCATGTTTATATTATGATTGTTTCTGCCATATGGTTTCTGTAATGTTTTTTTGTTTTACTGTGTGAGACAGAGATCTTTGTGGTGGGAAGGATTTTCAGCAGCATGGGCTTATTAAACGCAGTAAAGTTAAACTGGGAATGAATTTCACTCGTGTTTCCTACTGAGCTCTGTGAGTGACTGTGTAAGTGCCACCAGTACTGACAGTGATGTGAACTGCCTGTGGGCATTTAGATAATACACAAGGATGAGTTAACCTTCCTAGGCACTAGAGTGAATAAATCTAGAATTCTAGCATGTATGACCTGTGCTGCAGAATGAAAAGGTCCTTCTGATTGTTGTTCTTGTGCAGTGGATATTCTAAAAACTATTACAAGCTTTTAGGTGTAAATGGAAAGGTTGCTGGTTGGAGATGGACTGTGACAAGACTGCATAGACTTTGCCCTGGAGAAAAGAAGAAGAATTACAGGAGTTACTGGCACATTTGTCTATATACATTTGTCTGGTTGTGTATGATTTGTTTTTTCCTGTTGTTGATTTAATCCTTGACAACTAGGTGTAAATTTGTATCTCAACCTGTCAAATTGTGGTTAAATACCAGAAAAATATAAAGAATAATCTTTCAGTATATACTTCAGTGAAGGGTTATCTAGCCCATGGACACGCTTCAGTACTCAAAGTAAACTCTGCAGATTGAAGAAGTATCTAAAAATACCTCAAATTATTAAAAAAAAAAAAAAAAAAAGAAAAAATCAGATCTTTCAAATGACCTCTTTTAGTGAGCTTTCTTCAGCAAGATATTGAAATCACACAGCACCTCCCAGGACTGAGCACCTTCAGCTAATTTAATACCCAATCCAGTTTCCATTAATATAAGCATTAAAGTTCCATTGTTAAGCTCATGGCAGCAGTGGCATGTTTACTGTGTAAGTTTTGTGAGAAAAAGCAAGGTCTGACCTCAGTTCCAGGGAAGGAATGCCAGTCCTTAAGCCAGAGCTGCTATAAATGGCTTTTGAAAGGTGCTGTTCTTAAGAAGTGCTTTTCCTTCCTGTCTCCTAGATTCAAAGACTGTCTGTTGGAAGCATCCCTCGTTGCATGGTGGTTGTTCTGGAAGATGACTTAGTGGACAGTTGCAAGTCTGGTGAGGATACAGCATATATCGCATATGTTTGTACCACAAGTATTTTTATTTTTCCATTTGAGATGAATCTTTGCCAAGTAGGCTATCGGTGCTGAGGGCTTGTTGAATGAGATATGTTAGTCTGTCACGTTGCTGTTTCAGCTTGGATGTTAGCATAGCCATTGAAGACTATTCTAGAAAATGTTACCCCCATGTTACATCTTGACTGTTTGACAGATCAGTTTCAATAAGTAATGTGTTGCGACCTTCAGAAAGTATATTGCATCTTGTTAGTGTGGGAATGCCAAACCTCTTGAGGAAATTGGTCCACACCTTCACATAGCGTGTGGTGCCCCTCTGTAGGTTTGGAGAGTGAGGCAACCTCACCTCCTATCTAAGGAATGCTGCAGGTGGAAAAGCTACATGGCATTCAGAAAGGAAGCTAATTGGCAGGAGGATGTATGAAGAATGGACTAAAAATTCTCAGATAGGCACATCCCCACAAGAAATTAATTTCTTCTTGTACTTTCTCAGAAGAACACTGTGGCCAGAATGTTAACGAGTGATTCTGGAATTCATCACAAAAGTTACCAGAAGTCAAATAAGTTTTGCCTAAAGTTTTTGTATACTAAATCTAATTGAAAGAAGAGCTTCTACAGTTTATCTTGAATTCCTCTTTTCTAGAAGAGGAAACAAGCAGAGGTATACCTTCAAGAATTCACCTACGTTAAACAGAAGTAGAAAGACATAGCAGCTTCCTACCACAGACATAAGCAATCTACCTAATGTTTCTTTTAGACTTCCAGTAACTGCAGGAGGTTTGCTTTTTATGGTTGGGTTTTTTTAACCTTACTAACTGTAACACAGCATCTCAATTGCATTATTATGCATTACAGCTAACTGACACATCTGCTTATCTCAAGTTATTTTACTAATTTTTGTTACCACCAGGAGATGACATCACAGTGTATGGAGTGGTAATGCAGAGGTGGAAACCTTTCCACGAGGATGCACGCTGTGACTTGCAGCTTGTTTTGAAAGCCAACTACGTTAAAGTAAACAATGAGCAGCTAGCAGGGGTTGTAATTGATGAAGAAGTCCGCAAGGAATTCAAAGACTTCTGGGAAAAGCATAGGAATGATCCCTTAGCAGGTTAGTACCTGAAAGCTTTTAAGTAGGACACATGTTCGGATATAGGTGAAATCAGGAGTGAAAGTACAGTGACTGAACACATTTTTCCCCCATTATCCTATCCCACTGCCCATTCCTCCAAAAATATATTTTTGCCAGTACAGGAATGTGAAATTCTTACTTCAATATTACTGGGGAAAAAGGTACCAAACATGACTGCATTGATGTTCCTTCTTTTGAGCTTTCCAGTCAAGTGTTTTGTGGAACATTTATTAAAAAGGAATGAGAAATAATATAAGTATCAGGGACAAAAGAAAAGTGTTTTATAATCAAGAAAGAAGAAGCATCTCTTAGAAGAAATAGTGCGGACCAGATCTGCTTTTAGCCAGCATAGCTCATAGCTGTTGACTCTGGGGCAAGAGATCTGACTCACTGTCTCTGCATCCCGAATTAAGCTGTGAATCTCTACCACAGAGTTTAGCACATCTCATCTTTAACCTAACTCTTGGATGCCTAGGGCCTTGATTTAGGTGCTGTGGAGTCTCCTATCAAATGTGGAGAGAGTCTCCCAATTCACAGTGGCTTTCAGAACAGCCAGAGTGTTTAGTATGCTGGCTCCTAAACTTACCATGGTCTGCAGTCAAACACCTAGGAATCAGCAGGAGTTGTGTCTGGAACTCTGTCCCCCTCCATAATCTGAGCGCATCCTCCTGAGCCCTGGGGAGCTCAGTGGGCTCTTTAGGATCTCTCACTGAACTGTCTCAGGCTAACACTCTGTCTTTTAACATCCTGAAAAGGGCTTAGTCTGTCTTCTTAAAAGACAAACAGGAGGAAAAGCAGGTGGGAATGTTGCCCCTGTCAGCTTAAAAATTAGAGCACTCGCATAAGAAATTGGAGATCTTGTCAATGGCAAAGATTCTTCAGAACTGCATTTCCTGGAAAGCAATTTAATTGCTAGCCTCCTGCTGTTTGGAATGAGAACATTCTTCTTCCTGCTGTTTGGAACGAGAACATTTCTTATCACCCTGTTTAGAACGGTTCAGAAAGTAATTCAGGATCCTCTTTGAAGGTCCCATTTAATCTTTCATTCTCAGGACAATTTTTGGAAGCCTGCAGGGAGCAGTGTGGTTTTATGCACTATTACCCATTCAGAATAAATGAATTAATATGAAGTGGCTACAAGAAAATTGAGGTGGAAATTAGAAGGACCCTGACTGCCCGAGATGTCTGGTTTAGGCCGTTTGTCTGAATTTGAGTCCCTTCACATGAGGGCAGAGATCAAATTTGACTAAGGAGTCTAAGGTATAGGCCATTTCACAACCGGATGTATGTAAATTTACTGTTTTTCAAGAGATAATAGTAGTTCCTACTGCATTTTATGTCAGTCAATTCCTGATGCTGTGTATGAGGTGTCCTGAGAAAGTCTACCATGGCAGGCCTCTGAGAGAACTTATGCAGGTGATTTTATTTTTTCTGGATACTCTCTAGGCAGAACTGCTGAGCTGCTCAGCACTGACAAGGCAAATGAATCTGAAGTCAAATAGAGGCAACTATGGAGTTAAATCTTAAGTTATGTTATGGCTGACCAAAGTTTTTAAAATTTCATTTTTGGACAAAGGTGTTAATTCCCTCAGAAGACCTCCACAAGAAACACATATGCCTCAAGTCATCTATTAGTTGCCTACATATTTTGCCAGTACCATGTACTTGCATCTAAACTTAAAACGTAAGGTAAGGACTCAAAATTGGTCACTCTGTTTTATTCCCTAGCAATGGGAGTAATGTATGGCGTTAAACCTGCTGTCCCTTATGTGCTGTTAGTATCAGAATCTCAGAGGACAGAATTAATCCTGTTACACACCTTCCAAGCCAACAACATTATCACAGCAGATTGAAATATTCTGTTGCGGGAAAGGGACTATGGTAGGGAGGAGGAGCGGGTCAAAGGAGACCTTTGACAGAGAAGGGTCAAAGGATAAGGAGATTAAAGACAACGATGAGAAAATGAGCCATGCTATGGGTGCACAGGTTTAGGGCAAAATACTTCCAAGTGTTAGATGTTTTTCTTAGTTTTCTTAAATGTACAACACGACCGTTTTCAAGGGGATATTTTGAAGTCTGGAAACTTCTAAGTTCTATTCTTCATAGCCCCTACTCTTTAATTTGTGAAACAAAAGAATTTTCATGATGGCATTTCATTAGTGCCTTTTGTCATGACATCCAGACCATACCTTCCTTAAATTGCGGTAGGATTGGCATTGCTGCCAGTGGAAGACTTAACTTCTTTATAAAGAAGGAAGTTACAATTGCTTTGGGTCCCATTTAAAAAATAATAATAAAAAAAATCTCCTTCCTGCCCTGTTCCTCTTGTTCAGGAAGCAGACCCAAATTATTTGTGAGTGTACATAGGACTGTGGACATAGGACAATTATTTGTCAGTGTACACAGGACTTTAAGTGTACATTACTCTTAGGGCTGAGTGCCATTTTTTGCTCCTGTTCTAGGGAGGAATGAAATTTTGGCTAGCTTATGTCCTCAAGTTTTTGGATTGTACCTGGTGAAGTTGGCTGTAGCCATGGTGCTTGCCGGTGGTGTACAGAGGACCGATGCTACTGGAACTCGAATCAGAGGTTGGTATTGTTTCTAACAGTATCACATCCTTTCTAACAGTTGTTCCTATCCCTGTCTTCACCTACATCATTCCCCCCTCCAAAATCAAACCAGTAAGGTTTCAGAAGCATAATGATCCCTTTTTCTTGAGTGAGAGCAACTTTTCATTAATGCTGAGTATTCTTCCAAAATCTCAGACAAATAAAGTGGGTGTCTAGACTTCCTCTTTTTATTTTATTTTTTCCCAAATAAAACCCAGTAAAAGCAGGCATTCAGGATTCCATTAGGTAGAATATTAAAGGCAGTTGTTTTAGACAAAACATAAACTCACTTTTCATTGTATAAGTGACGTTTTGAAATGATTTCTAGTAAAATATTCCCAGCAGTATTTGGCATCAAAGGATGGAATATTAATGTTTCCTTAATGTGGATCACTATAGTACATTGAAAGGAAAAATTAAAGGATTCATTTTACTTCCTAATGCCAGACTTTTCCATCTGTGATTGTCAGCACATCTCACTTAGTTCTGTTACTGTAAGTTATCTGCCTGCTGATTCTCCTTCTGTTGTTATTAGATGGCAAATATGCCATGTGCCAGGTGGTACACAGGTCATAATCTATGTAGGTCATAATAATCCTAAAATAATATGTGTGTATATACAAATACAGGGTTTTCTTAATGCTCCAGCAGCTAAATAAGGTTATAGACTTTTGTGTTTGAACTGAAGTTGTATTAATGTTTTGTAGAAGACAATGAAATAATTTTAGAGCACTCCAGTGAGCTTGTAGTACCCAAATTATTTACCTCACTAACTGCATTGTTTTGATATTGCTAAATTGTGTAACTGTTGGCAATGTAACAGAATTAGTTAAGAAAAACAACTTGCTGATTTTATCAGTACTTTTCACAATAATTTAAGTCACTGAATAGTGGAGTGATAACTAAACCCTGGTATCCTTCTGTTCATGTTCAAGAGCGAGTTGAGTGTGAGAAATGAGTATTCTAAAATGTAAGAACTTGCATTATGGGAAGTATGTCAAATACCTGCTAATACTTTTAAAATATTTCATCATAAATATTTTGTTTGGGTGCAGCGATATGACTGGATGCTTTTACTAAACAATATATTTATCACACCCAATAAATGGTGCCATCTTAAACAGAATTACATATTGTAATGTATATGTAGTACTAAACATTAGGTGAATAATGAGAAGTATTATTTGATTCAGAGCATTTTGTGTATATCTTTCTCTGTATATGAACCGTCTACTCCTACATCAACATTTTCCCCCAAGGTGAATCGCATCTTTTGTTGGTTGGAGACCCGGGTACGGGGAAATCTCAGTTTCTCAAGTATGCAGTAAAGATTATGCCACGGTCTGTGCTTACTGCGGGAATTGGATCTACAAGTGCAGGTATGTGCTTCTTCAGCTGGAACGCTTTACTTTTTTTGCTGGAATATGTTTATATAGAGGCCTTCTACATACATGAACATAGGTGCTCAGGTTGTATGAGCACAGCTGAAGCAAAAAGTGCTGTGGAGGCATATGAGGCTTGATGTGACTCTCTGCAGAAGGGCAGTCCTGCCCCTTCTTCTGTATCAGTGGAGCAGCGTGATGAGTTTCTAACAGGGAACCTTACAAGCCTCATGAGGAGGCACTTCTCACTGCTTTGCTAGCAGAAGATGATTTGAACCTGTATTTTTAGTGTTTTTCCTAGCTATGACAAATCTGACATCTTTCCAGAGCTCACACTGTGTGATGCGCTAGCATCATTTGGTTTCTCCTGAAACAGATACTCCTCCTCTCTTCTGTTCTTTTATATGTTCTGGCTGGATGCCAGTTTAATTTCTGCTTACTTTCTGGAAATTCACCTCTGTGCTGAGGAATTATTTCTGACTCATAAAAATGGTTTCAAGATGGTTTCAGAGAGCAAGCTTCTTTTTTTTTTTTTTGTTAAATTATGTGTGTCCCAACTGGCTCTGAATACCAGGTATCTTTACAAACTCTTCTGAGGACAAGGTACAGGGTCAGACTACCTCTGCAAATGACTTTATTTGAGCAAATGACTATATTACTAGTACATGCAAAATGGCAAAATAATTAGGGATGAACCCCAGTGTCTCAGCTGGCATGTGTAACTTAAATTTTCTCAGATAGTGCTGCTTTTCATTTTATGTCTGGGAACAGCATTATTTATACATGGGAAAACCAGAGAAAAAAATCTTTCCCAGTGGGAAAACCAGAGAAAAAAATCTTTCCCAGTTCTATAGCTATACGTACATGTGTATACTGGTCTTCCGTAGCTGTGGAAGTGGAACATGATGTTGAACGTACACACTCTTGTGTGCAGGGAACTTGTTATGAAACACATATGCCTCTGGTTTTCCATTCAAACTGTTGACAAATAGGTCTGGAGAGAAGCCAGAGAGAACATTTTGGCTCAGCATAACCTTTTCTCCACCTTTTGTTCTGTGTTAAGAACTGAGAACAGGCTGGATAATTTAAATTTTGCTGGGGGACTGACAGTGACCTGGAGTAAAATTTTGCCATGCATTTCAATGTGACCTTGCCCACTTTTGTCAGTAGTAATCTCCCTGTGTCAGCTGCTCTTGGCCTCTGATGTTGCTGTTGCCTTCTTCACCACATCTCCCTCCTGTGCTTCATTTTCCGTATGATCTGGTTTCCAGCTCAGCCATGACAGCTAGGTTCAGAGACACTTCCCTGAAAAACAGTATTGCAGTTTACAAGCTTACTGTGGTATGTGTGCCATAGAATCAGCTAATGATGTGTGGAGATGGGAGTTTCATCTTGTGAAAGGATTGTCTTGAGTCTTCAGATCATCTACATTTCACTTAAATATTCCTTGTATTTTAAAAAGCTTCTCCCTCTCCCTGACCCTCCCCTCCCTTCCTGAAATCTGACAGCAGGTTCATCAAATTTCCACCTTAAAATTCTTTAGGACCCTCATCACAAGTCCAACTTGAGTCCCTAGCAAGAAATCTTATTAACTCTAGTTTAATTTCAGGGAACCTTTCCACGGCTAGAACTGCTGGACTAAAGTGTTAATTTCTAGCCCAGGAGTTTGGATGTAGTTTGGATTATTTTATTTGCCTTCCCTGTGCAAGGAGTGTCTTTCTTATGAATATGTTTATAACTGTACCTAACATTGATTTTGTCGACTTGCTCTTTGTGCAGAAGCTCCAAATGATGAGTTTAGAGAACTATTAAATTGTTTTACTTTCCTTGTTGTAATTGCACACTTCAAATTACCAGTTTTTACTGTCTATGAGAGACGAGTCCTAATGCACGTTTTTCCCTGCAGTGTACAAAGACTAAATCCGTAAGTCCTGCTTTCAGCTAGTTCCTTACTTTATATAAAAAGCAGTCTGGATTGCAGTTTAAATGCTGGCTCTGGGATTACAGTCCACATAGGCCAAAAGACACACCTGAGATTTGGTAAACCCTGGAGAAGTGCTAAAAGCTGTCTTACATTTGGATTCCTCTTTTAGAGAAAACTGCCGATATCTAACCAACCTTTGGTAGGATTTTGTGCATTAACACATCTTACTGTTTTAGGGCATGAGCTATTTAGCAACCATAGAATTAGAATTCTGCTTCCAAAACTGTCCATCATTATCAGTTTTCCCTGCGTTTCTGTACAAGCATTTATTGGTACCAGAACAGTGTATTCGATCATTAACATTCTCCTTGTGCCAAAATTCCCTTTCTTTCCTGCTCTACCTTAGGTATTGTGTGCTTTGAGATCCATTATGATCCTCTGGGGCTCTGCGGTGCCGTGTGCCCGCTGCAGCCTGTTACTGCATCTGGACCTAAGTGGAATTGCCTGGCCAATTTCAGAAAACGGCGATCTAACTCCGCAACTTAATTTGCTGTTGGGCCTCTGCTCTTTCAAACAGGTTCCTGCCTCCCCCAGTGCTTTTTAAACCAAGTCTGTGCTTCATCAGATGGGCTTTGCCTGATTCGGAAGGTTTGACCCAGGCTAACACCCTGCTTTCTTGTTCTAGTGAATTGGTATGGAAGATCTTCATCTTTCTTATCTCACCAACAGGCTCAAGTCGACCGCTTGCTGCAGACAGCCTTTAAAAATGACCAGTAATTTATTCTCTGTTGTGGGTAAAAACAGAACTTTGCCTCCACTCTCTAGATAGTGTTTCTGAGTTTACTTGTTTTCTTAGGTTGCCTTTCTTGCAAACACTTAGTAGAGATTTTCTGTTGAGAGTTCTCTGCAAGTTTATGACTTTTATGAGGAACCAGGGCTCGTTCCTCCCACATCGTTTTAATGAAAGTTGGCAGCCAGAAGGCCAGCCCACATTCAACAGCTCAATGGCAAAAATTTCTTTGACCCCTATAGGACTTTCTGATTTGAAAATAAAAGATGGGGGAACCATCTGTCCCACTGTCTGGTTCTGTCTACACAGTGTGTAGTTTTTGTAAAGGCCTGATTCATTCTCCGCCCCCCCTCCCCAGTCTCTCATCTGAGGATGACAGGGCGTCATTCAGGTACCTTTAATTTTTATTAATTGATACATAGTTTTCCAGAAAAAAAGAGACTTAGTGAGGTTTAACAAATTCTCTCTGTTGGTTCCCACCTTACCGCTGAGTTCAACCAACTGTTTTGCAGTCCCCAGAGCCACAGTGCTGCTTGTGCATAATTGGATGAGATAATCACTAGTGAGAAAATACTTCATTTTCCCCTGGAGCTTGAGACCTGCAGTGATCGATTGAGTGGTGTGTTTGACTCCATAGGGACAGGAACCAACATGGCTGCTGCTGCTGGGTCTGGAGCTCGTGGACATCTGGGCCAGAGTCATGCTGCTGCTTCTTGGTGCATATTTGGCTGTTCAGATTTCTGCAAAGTTTTGTTTGGTGTTGTGTCCCTCCACAGATGGACTGCTTAAAGAATTTGGTGAATTGTATTTAGAACAGCTTGTCTAAAAATCTGGGAGACTATCAGCTGTTTCTCCAACTCTGCAGTTCTGTACAATATGACTTCCTGAGCTGTATGAAATGCGGCCTTCTGGCCTCTCCTCTTACAGCCTCTACAGAGCCTTGAGTACTGCCTTTTTGCAGTACTTTTTTTTTTTTCAACATTTTTTTCAACACTTTTTTGCAATTTTGCAACATCTAACGTTGTCTATATAGTGCCAACAGCTGTTTGCTACTGTGTTTTTTTTCTTTTCCTTGAAGGCAACCAACTCAAGGGGAAACAACCATTTTTCTTTTTTGTAGTAAGCCTCTCCCTTCTAGGCAGGCTTGAGTTGTCTCTCTTCTGAGCCAGTAGAAGCCCATTCAAAGTGGCTGGCATGAGCCATCTGGCTATGGTTATGAATAGAGTGTGTGGTGTCAGTATCCTGAGGAATGCAACACTGAAATGGAGACACGTTTCCCTGTTTGTAGATCCCCAAACCGTCCCTGGGCAGTATCAACTATCCCTAGTTGATACAGGCCAAGGCAGTGCCAGGGAACATGCTAACAGTTTACTACTGTGGATCCGTACCCTGGGCCTGATCAGGGTATTAATAGAGGTGCAGCCTTTAGGCCCTTCTTTTTGGATCTTCACTTCTACCAGAGGACTCTTCATTGTTTTCCTGAATATTCATAATTGTACATGAACTTGAAATATTTTCTATCAGCATGTACCTTGAAAATATTTTCCTGAGAGCATGATTTCATTGGCTGTTCCTTAAACCAGTTTGGCCTCAAGTTGAAGAGGCCTTAATTCTGTAGGAAGTCTGCTAGGCTTCTTGAAGGAATTAATTTTGAAGTTGTGATCAAACCTCATCAGAGATCTGCCACATCTGTAACAATGTCTCTTCTCTTGCAGGTCCTTAAATTCCCTTAATTTCTTCTCAATACTGTTGCTCTAAGATGGCTTTGTCCCGAGACAGAGTTTACCTTGACTGCCTGCATGCAAAAGATTATTTAGCCAAGTAGGTGTCTGTCTGCAGAAATTTTGGCCTGTTCATACATCTATATCTGAAGACCTGTAGTTAGGATGGACAGGAAATACTGCAGGAGCAACCTCTTCGTCATGTTGGCTGGAGGTTTCAGGTCTTATGCACTTCTGGCATAATACACCCCAGGCAGGCTTTCATCAGACTTTTTCACCCTGCTGTTGAAATAACAGTTGATTTTTGGATGGATATCCTATGTCTTCAGGATTCCTTTTACCATACCATAAAGCCCCTGCTTCTTCCTAGTTTGTATCGGTGTAGGTCTGCCACACCTTTCTAGTGAGATAGGACAAACCAGAGGACCCCCTTATGTTGAAAGGTAGGCCTCCTTATCTCTTGGTCCAGGGGTGTTTCGGAGGGAGACCCAAGAACTCCAAGAACTTTTAAAAGTTCCTGACATTTCAGCTGTTTCTTAACACTGCTGTTAACATGTAACTGTTGTCTCTTACATTTGGTATAACCTTTTTACGGCACACACACCTCCTTCCTCTGATGCCCTCTGTCTGCAGGGAGGCCTGTCACATCCCTCGTGCCATGGACAATGAGTATCCAGCCATGCCTCCAAGCCATCATTATCAAAAGTTGGGAATGTTGAAGTGTATCCTCCCCTGATCCCCTCCTGAAAGGGCCTTTGCTTTCTAGATTCCAGGCACAAACCTGGGTTTTGCCTTTAACAAAGCCTCCCTAGTGACTCCAGCTTCTTCCTTAGACATTCTTCTTTGCCTAGACCAAAAATCAAGCAAAAATCCCTCTTGTCTTCTGCAGAACAGCTCTCTTATCACATGCTACAAGACCAGCTCTTAAGAAGCAGAACTTTAACTGGAAACGTAATACAAATGGGAAGACCTAGCATGAGTAGTTCCCCCACGCGCTGCCAGCCCTTACAGGTAGTTGTCAGTTTTGTTGCATCTTCCTAGCTGGCACTGAGCAGAGCCCTCCAGCTAGCAACAACAGGAACAATTAACCCATCATCTCTGGACCAAACTTCTGTGGCTCTCAAAAAAATGAGAGAATCTGCAAGCTTGCAGACCACTGTGCTATGGATAAGGAGTAGGGTAGTTAAGTATGTGAAGCATCTCCTGCAGCTGCCCAGACAGAAGCCACAAGATTTAGTTAACTTTGCTCTTTTTTTGTCTCTGGTAAATGAGGATTTGCCAGGAGTGTACATGGTTTACATAAGGTGTTTTGGGTTTTTTTCCTTTTTCTTCCCTACCACCATTTTCAGATGACAGTGGACAATCTTTGTACAACTGCAAGTGGCTAGCTTCCAGTCTGAGCTGGCTTCTAGAAAATCAGCAGTTGAGGCCCTACAAAGCAAAATAATGGACTGTCAGATCATCAGATTTGTCTTTGTGACTTTGTCACTCACATCTCAAGAATACAGATTGTCTGGTGAGCTATAAACTAAGCTACTGAGTTGCTGCAGTCTTGAAGATTGGTAGCAAGGGTTGGCTTTTTCAGTGGAGCTTTGTTAGAGCCACTGGAGAGGTTAAATTTCACCAGCCTCCATTATGATGGAGCTGGAGCCTTTTTGCCGGCTTCAAACTCATAGTAATTCAGGCTGAAGGTGATGCATGAATAAATCACAATGACTGTAAGATGAAGGGACAAGTTTTTTTTCAAGCTAGACGTGAAACCCCCCACCCATGTTTTTCATCCCTAATGTTACCTTGTCCGATTCGTTTACTTCTATGTACATGAATAACCTCTGGTGAGCATTATGACAATCTTCTAATGGAATTGAGTCTATCTAGTGGAGGTAAAAATACAGTGAGATCATAGAATCATAGAATCGTTTAGGTTGGAAAAGACCTTTAAGATCATCTAGTCCAACCATTAACCTAGCATGTCCCGAGGTGTTTAGTCTAGTCTACCCTTAATTGTTTTAGTGTGGACTTGGTAATGTTAGGTTAATGGTTGGACTGGATGATCTTAAAGGTCTTTTCCAACCTAAACGATTCTATGATTCTATGAAACCATGTCCCAAAGTGCCTTGTCTACCCATTTTTTGAATGCTTCCAGGGATGGTGACTCCACCACCTCTCTGGGCAGCCTGTTCCAATGCTTAACTACCCTTTCCGTAAAGAAATGTTTCCTAATATCCAATCTAAACCGCCCCTGGCACAGCTTGAGCCCATTTCCTCTCGTCCTATCACTAACGCCTTGGGAAAAGAGACCAACCCCCACCTCACTACAACCTCCTTTCAGGTAGTTGTCGAGAGCGATAAGGTCTCCCCTCAGCCTCCTCTTCTCTAGGCTAAACAACCCCAGTTCCCTCAGCCGCTCCTCATAAGGCCTGTGCTCCAGACCCTTCACCAGCTTCATTGCCCTTCTCTGGACACGCTTCAGCACCTCAATGTCCTTCTTGTATTGAGGGGCTCAAAACTGGACACAGTATTTCAGGTGCGGCCTCACCAGTGCCGAGTACAGGGGAACAATCACCTCCCTGCTCCTGCTGGCCACACTATTCCTGATACAAGCCAGGATACTGTTGGCCTTTTGGCCACCTGGGCACACTGCTGGCTCATGTTCAGCCAGCTGTGAACCAGCACCCCCAGGTCCTTTTCAGCCAGGCAGCTTTCCAGCCTCACCAGTCCTGCCAGTAGAATCTGTAGCATTCCCTTGCATCTTGGTGGGCTCTCCAAGTGGAGATTCATGGGAAGGTGAACTCGTCTTTGATCTTGAAAGCGTAATGCTGTGCTGTCTGCACTAGCTGTCTATACATAATGTGTATAGCCCTGCTGTTTCAAAACTTTTGGAGACCAGAGACAAGTCTTTAGAGATGTCTTATACGCACTGTATCTTTTAAAAACCGCTAAGTTTGTGCTGTGATGTTGCCTGATGATCAGACCTGAAGCCTCTGGAGTACTGGAATTTGGTTTCTCAAATTCCTTACCTCTGGAATGTGATTTTGCCAGGAAACGTGATATTCAGAAGACAGTGTATATGGACAAAGTTCTTAGAAGACCCGAGAGGCATCCAGTCTCTCAAAAAGCATAGAAAGACTGCTTCTCTTGCAAAGATCATGAGGTGCTCTCATGAGGTACGATTGTTCTTCTCCAGTTTTCACCAAGCACAGTAGGGTTATTCTTTTTCCTGTAACTGGTGGGTCAGCTATATCTAGGATGTGTTAGTGTATCAGGTAAGGTGGTGCCAAATCCTACTGCACCATCATGCCATCCGGTCTAGCTTGAAGTTTATTGTACCAGAGTTCATGTGCGCAGTTGACTCTTTTTTTTCTCCTAAACAGAACAATAGGTCTTCACTTCCTGATTTCTCTAAACTAATTGGTTTGCTGGGTGATGTAGTTCTGCGGACTGCATTTTTGTAGTTGATTCTGCAATAGCAGTAATACAGTTTGCTTCCATCACTTTGTGGCATATGCATCTAAGAAGCCTTCATGCTACTACTGATGGATGGATTCTGGTTACAGCTTGTACTTGGTCGTGTTTTCATTTGAAACTTCAGCAGGTGCAAGGCTTTGAAACTACTACAGTAGCCTTAGCTCAAGGCAGACTTCATTAGCCTGCCAATCTTTCAGCACATGACTAAGTTATTTACATGCTTACATTTAAGAGATATCTTAAATAGAACAATGAAGTGCATGAAAAAAATCTCAAAGTGTCACTGTAGACCTTGAAGTTGTAATACAATTGAAAATCAAAAGATCTTTCTTAAAAGTTCACATAATTTCAGCCCTCAAGTGAAGGAACTGCTGGTTTGGGGGACCAGTTCTTTAAGTCATACAGCTATTAGAGTGTTAATATTTTTAAATTGCCAATCATCATTTTAAACAACTGCAGAGAGATTTTCAAGAGCACACATTAGAATTAGGATTCCAAATATTAATGGATTTCATTAATGCATTCAGCTACCATATGTACTGCTGAGTTTCCATACAAGAAACAAACATGTGCATGTTTTAAATCCTTTCTGACTTAAAAAAATACATGTTAGAAATTAAGACAATTTCACTAATGATGTGGAAAGACAGAAGCGCTAACTGCTTGGGACATCTTCATCCCTATTAGAGAATGCAGAAAGAGACAAGAAAGTGTTCTATTTTTATTCAGAGCTATACTGTCAGTCATAACGCAATTTACCTTCTTTGAAGGGCCTGAAACCCACAAGGGTTCACTGTTTGGGTGGTTACTAGTAACTAGCAGAACTATATTCTTGTAATCTAACATGGCAGATTACAATTTTAAATGGACGTATAGTCACAGTAAACGTATAAGGCTGATGAGGATTGGAAGGAATAACTCAATTGTTAGCGTCACAATAATGTCTTAAGTATTTACAGTTTTCTGCCTAGTTCTTTTTATCTTCAAGGATGGCCTCGGGTAACAACAACAGTGCAAGAGCTTCAGGGCAGGCAAGGTATCCTTGAGTGTGTCATGCCTGCCACAACAGGGTTTGAATCTTGACTTACACCAGTGCATAGGATTGCCTTAGAGGGTAGAGAGAAAATGGTAAAGTTTTAAATTCCAGTTGTTTCAAAAAACTGAAAGAAAGCATCTAAACTCCTTATTACTAGTTAAAAAGTCTACAAGAATAAAACATACCTGAAAATAAGTACCAACCCAGCAGTTGTACATAATAATCTTGCAGATCTTGCAGAAGAGCATTTTTGGGGTACTCATGCTGTTCCTTTTGATGCTTAAATTTTCTAGTAATTGCTCGAATCCTTCCAACCGTGTGTGCTATTAGGATGGCTAAAAAAGGGTTCTTTGCTGAGATACCCACCCGAATTCACATGGAACATTGTCCTTAACAAACCACAGTTTGACTAAACAGCAGCAGCAGGAGATTAAAAAAAAAAAAAAAAAGTCATAAAATCCAAGATAGCAGATGGTAAATCTCAAATTGCATGCTTTAAGTAACAAGTATGTGCCTTGAAAGGAAAAGAAGCTTGCACCTAAAATTATACTGTGCTGCCTGCTTTCACAGCAAGAGGACAGTTTTGGACTTTTTTTTTTTTTTTTTTATGTAAGAGATACTTTTTTCTTTGCACTTCATCTAATGACAGTTTTGTTCTTAAGCTGCTATTAAAGGGCACTTTATATTTGGCAATCTAGATATCAGAGATGAGGACATGGCATTATTCCTTGATTTTGCCTGAATGTTTTAGCTTTCAGTTTTGTAGCTTTTAATAGTGCTTACAAAGTAATGGGGGAGGGGGAAGAGAATATGTATACTTTAATCAGGTTTGGTTTAGACCACTTAGAATAACACATTAGAGAAAAAAGGCAATTACTTAAAAATAGTTGTATTTATATTCCACAATTTGCTCAAATACTGGTTTGTTTGGTTTTTTTGTTTTTTTGTTTTTTTATAAACTTTCTACAGGATGTTTTAAAACAAGTTCTTCACATTGCTTGTCAACTATGTACTTATGGAATTTGAGGGAAATAGTTCTGGTTGTTTTTACAGTTTAACACATGTACAGTACCAAAATGATGGTGGTTAGTCACATGCAGTCCATATGAGATTCTAACATAACATTTAATGAATTTTCTGATGTTGACCACCCCTTTGATGCTGAAGGTAATGCATCTGTAGAAAGCAGTGACTGTAGATTTGGGTTACTGCTCTCTGCGTCTTCCAGTTTTTCAGTGTTGTCCTCCCAATTAATGTGGAATCTTGTGACTCTGGGATTAGATGCCAAAATATTCCTTTGAAGCTGGGAGAGAAGAAAATATATAGATTATATAATGTGTACACCTGAAACTGGAGTTCACATGCATACAGATTTTTTTTTTCCTTTTTGCTCCCCATAGCCTTGTATGTATAAAACAATTTGTTTAGAAAGGGAATGGATATAAATGTGAATCTATAGCTACTATCTATGGATCAGAAACATGCTTACAGTAACACACCACTCGTTCATTTACTTCAATATCCTAGTCAGCAAAATAACTGCTTTCTTGAGAGGATATTTTTAACTGTTCCATGAGTTCAAGGCTGTATGAGAACTCTGCAAGTAAAGTGCAAGTGTTTATTATTTTAGCCAGCTTTTAGGAAAGCAAATGACTACGCCCACAAAGATTTTGCAAACCGCAGTACTTCACAAAATCTGGTGTCAACTTTATGGTGTTTGCAGTAATTGTATCAATTCCATCATCAACTGTCTGTCCTTATTTAAGAGTACAACCTTTCCTTAAATTAAGTTACCATGCTTTAGATTGATTTCACTAACTGAGTTTTTAATTTGTCTACTAGAGTTTTAAAGTAAAAACATTACTCAGATTTGGAAGATAGTAATATTGTGGCAGTGGATGTGCCTAGACGTCAGTCATATATTTTATTCTCACAGCTGGCCTTCATTTTCCTTTGAAAACATGTTGTATTTGTTTATGTATGCAGCAAAAAAAGAATATGCTCACTTTTTCTTAATCTCTCACCATTTTCAAGATAATACATAGTTAACTCTGGAGGATGGCAAGTTACCACCATTAGCCACTCATTATGAAAAAGTTTGCTTTGGTAGTAATGCTGATTTTATTCTTCAAGAAGTGCACTCTCATTGAATATTTCCCAACCCCTTATGCAAACTAACAAGACCATTTCTTTTTTTGAACCTAGTAGGGCCTGTTACCCATCAATTACAATTAAATATGTTTAGTAACCTTCTATTCTACTTGTATGTTCAAATTCTGTCCCAAAGTCACATTAAGGACTTTTTATACAAATACATCATAGCTTTTGCTGGTTTTTTCATGGAAGCAGAGGTAGCTTTTTCCACAAGCAAATCAGAGAATTAAGACAAGTAGTTCTAGGCATTTCTAAATTCAAGTGCTTAAAGGAAGTCAACATTCTGGCATTCACATCCAAAATAACAAATAAGTATATGATTGAAATGAAAGAAAAAAGAAAGGAACAGATTATAAGTTTAAGAATCCTCAAAATTAACAGTAATTTTGTGAACATACTGAGCATCTGATCCCTGAAAATTAAGCATAGAAAACCATTAGCGACTTTTAAAAACCAATTTACATACAAAAACATACTTCAGTTTAGTTACATTTGAAGATCAGTTTCAGGGACTATGGGGATTATCACTGCACTAATCATTACAGTACATGCATTATCCCATTCATTTCTTCATATACCCAGTCACGTAATTCATGCAAACTTGAGAAATAACAAAATTTTCACCATCACACAACTTTAGAACGTAAGTGTGGTCACATGTACGTCAGCTTTCATAAAGAGAAAACCCAACTCCACAAAATCTTCCAGGAAAACAAACCTGGATGCTGTATAGAACCTTGTTGGTTTGTACAGAGTCTGCCTGGATAGAGTATTTCACAGGATTTTGACGTTTTTGATGTTTAATTGATCCTTCTCCTCAAGGTATTAGGCTCCAAATAATTTTACTTCACATCATCTTTTAATTCTAGTCCTGATTTCATTTTTACCATGAAGGATTTTTTTTTTTCTTTAAACTTAATTGTATACTTCCTTGGTCCAGTTGTCCATTGACTGGATAATCATCCAACCTACTCTTACCAGGTTACCCATCTTCTCTCATTTTATACATAACTTGTTCTTCAGTTTGTTATCGTTTTGCAGAAACCGCAGCTCTAACACTAGAACAGCTGGATAACGACTGCGTTAAATTAATACTTAAAACTTAGTTCCAGGTTGACTGTCCTAGAAAAAAAAACATTACTCTGTTTTTTGGAAGAACAGAGCCACTTTGTCAACAGGGGTGCAGGCAGAGGGAACCAAATGGTTTATTTCACACAGTCAGTGTAAAATAATAAAGTCCAGCCAAGTCTTCAAGCTGGTGGAAACTGTTGCAGGTTTCTCAGTGCTCTCCAAATCTGTGGCAACTACACGGCACTTGTAGTTTGTCCCCCCAAGTCTTTTCCATTATTTGATGCCTCGTTCCATGCACTTTATGGAATCGCTTGGGGTTTGGTTGTGTTTCTTAAAAACCTCTTTCCATGAGCATACCTTTGATATATGACTAGAACAAAACATGCCTTACCTTAGAAAAATCTGGCTTTACTGGTGGATTCTCTCTCAGTTCTGTTTCGGTGTATTCATTGTTTACATAGTAGCCAACTCTAATAAATTCTTGACCTCGGTAGGTGCATGTAATTAGCACAACTGTTACACCTACTGCATCTGCATCTGGAATAAGCCCTGGGTTAGGTGCATCAGCCTAAATGTGAAAAGGAAAGATTAATTAAAATAAAATTGATACTACTTAAGATTCCCCTGCTAGATAGGCGTGTGGTATGTCTTAGCAGCTGAGTAGTGACTGTATTTAAAATAATTCTTCAGGTTAACCAGAAAACATACCTGCTTTCACAACATCATCAACCCTGAATTTAGGACACTATCCTCTAGAATTATTTAGAATACAGTAATATGTGTGCTGACATTTCTCATGGGTGATTAGACAGCTTTGATCCAAAACTGCTTTTAAATATATGATCAGCTGAACTGTTGTTTGACAATTCTACAGTGCCATTGTTCTCCAGCCCATCTTGGTAATTTAGTAGAGTTAAGATATTTTTTTTTGGTACCTGAGAGTTGAATTGGTCTGTATGTGTGTTTTTAACAAGACTAAACCCTTAGAAATACAGACTGCAATTTACACTTAAGCAAGAAGAGCAGGGACAGGCTGCAGTGAGCTTTGAGCTGTCCCACAGATTTCTAGGAAAGGAATAAACTACTCTCTCGCCTCCTTCCACATGCCTACATTTGTTACAAGTGTATGCAGTTAAATGCATCATCACTCTAAGACATCTGACATATTTTCAGCCAGGATGCAATCCTAATTAATAGGCAACTCTTATAATCTTCCTCAATGTCCTTATTTACCATGGCTCTGCAGTTATTAATAACCAATAAAATTGGCCTCGAAAATGTGGCTCACATCAGCCCCTTAAAATGCTTCCACATTTATTGATAAAATGCGATGCCTCATTCTGCTGTAGGATTTAAAGTAACAGCAATCTAAGCATAAATGAAACAGCTTCATATCTACAATTTTACATGAAGATCTGAAGCCAACGACGAACACCTGCGTTACGAGTACAAGTTGGTATTAACAATGTAGGTTAGAATGGTTCAGGTGTAATGAATCTTGCCTTAGGACAGCAGACAAATGGCATTAATTCCTGCTGTCCCTCTGATGCCTACTTTTCTGTAGTATTTATATGCTCCAGCCCCGTGAAATTTGGGAGCTAGTGGTCATGTATCATTGGCTTCTGCTCTTTGCTACTTCAGTTTAAGCGTTCAAACCAGTCTAGCTTTTTACAAGAAGCTGTAGGCACTTTGCAGAAGAATTAGATGAGCCAGACCTCTCAGGTACAAATACACCAGGGGGAGGAGAAGCAACCAGCGAATCAGGTAGAACCCAACTTCCCCCAGCCCTGAAGGGAACAGAAAATGACCAAATGGCTTTACAGCTTACACAGGGGAATGGCAAGGATGACCAAGGAATAGGACAAGTGTAGAAGCTTGAAGAAATCACAAGAACTACCAATACAGATGAAATCACTACTCTGATTCAGTAATCTTGTTCTAACAGTGCCCAGGACCACTTGATTACTTTAAATTCCACAGTGGGCAGTTACAGAATAATAGATCACAAAAGCACACTATTCCATTTAACCCCCTCCATGAAATTTAGCTCACACCTTAATGTGGTATTTTAGTTCTTCCAGGGTCCCATTGTCATTTTGTGTCCTGTAGTAATCCTATGATACAGTTGTGAACCCAAGGAAATACTCTTTTTTAATCCTACTTAACTCTCAAGCATTGTTTTGCTGAGTGCAAAAGACACTGAACACTGTTTCAAAAAAAAAAAAAAGTTTTCTCAAATTTTGAACTTCCTGCCTTGGATGTCAAACCTCTTAACTGCCCAGGAAACACATGATCATACACAGGTGGAAGAAAAAAAAAAAAAAAAAAAAGAAGAGCGTGGTATGACCAACTGACAAGTACGCAGTTGCAAATAGGCATTTTGGTAGGCAAAAAGAGGCAGTAGGATTAACTTGTGCATAAAAAAAAATCACTGTCTTAATATTCCATTCTTATGCTAGAAATTACTTATGAATTTTATGAAGTCACCCATTGTGTACGTTGTCTTGAATTATCTTGCTTTTCTACATGATACAATTATTCACATAGCTATTGCTGCAGAGTAGCTAAGTTACTGTAAGGTCATATCCCCACTTAAAGATAGTGAATTATTTATGTGCTTATATTCTCAAAAAGAAGTTTCTGTCAATTTATTAGAAATGCCCAAGTGCATAGAGAGAAGGAATCGGGTTTCACTACTTACATCTTGGTATTTAGAACCAAACAGGCCAAGCTGTGGGCCTTTAATATTGAAATCTTTTTAAATATTTAAAAAAAAAAAAAAAGTTGATTGTGTAAGTCTAAAAGCACAACAGTTTTCCATCTTTCTGTATGTAAGGCTGAATTCCCAACCTGATACACAGCTTCTTTTCAACAAAGGTAGTTTTACCATCCTTGGTATTTTATCTGTGTGGTACTCCATTGTACTTGCTGTTTCAGCCATTTTCCTATGTAGAAAAATCTACAGCATCTTATTAGCCAAAAATTTTATACACCTCCGCAGAGGTCCCTTCCTTGTGCTGTCCCTAGTGAACACAATCTTTTTCTTTATATTGTGCCTCCTGCAGTTCTGTGCTTTGCCCCATTCTGGCCTTCCCTTGCTAGTTCTCTCCATCTCCCAGGCTGGTTCAATTTGGTGAATAAAGTAGCTTCAGTCATCACCAAAGGCTTATTTCAGCACTTCAGTTTTTGGTGGTCTCCTTTGTATGCAATAGCTGAGTCCTACTCTCACCTGAAATCCAGTGCTTTTGAAGTCTAATATACTTAGACCAACAGTACTTCCATAAGAAATAAAAGGGATACTTTAACACAGAAGGAGTACTGACTCTCTTACAGGACCTATTCCAATCTAAGCAAAATGTCTACATACCTACTGCTAATTTAGCTGTAGTGTCATTTATAACTGGGATACAACTGATGAGTCCATCCTACAGAAACTGCAAGACCAGTAAATTTAATTTTTAAGGCTTTCCTAATCATACAGCCAAAACATGCCTTTTTAGGCACCTGCCTCTTGCTCCTTCCCATCACCATCAACAATGAATCTTCGTAACTTGAGAACAGTGCATCTTTTAAATTAGAAATATAAATGCCAGCTGATTTCTCTGGATACAGTGCTGCAAGGTAAGCCCCTTTGAGGGCAACAGAGGATCACCTATTTCTGACCAATTAATGACATAAGCTATAATAGCTTGATAATGGAAGAACTGTTAATAAATGATGCATGTGTTACACATCTGCTTTATTTGTAGCGTGCAAAAATTAGGCCCAGCTCCAAAACCAAACAGAAATGTTTCAAGACTGTTTTGCATTGTCTGTGGTTGATAAATGTAACCTCCAGCCCAACCCTATTCCTTTAGCCTGTCCTGCAAGGAAAAAAAAAGTTTCCTGGAACTTACAGGATTAATCAAGATGCCTCACAAATGTCAATACCATTTTAAAACAGTTACAGTAACTATGAGAAATAAGAAAGTGTATTCGTTAGTGCTTTTTTTTTTTTTTTTTTAAATGCTCATACTCCGGCATGCATCTACCATTAAATAGTTATGTGAATTTATAGTATTTGGGAAAGTAGCATGGTTCTTATACAATAAGCCACACTCAGTTTCAATCTGATTTTTCTGCTGATGGATTTTGCTCTCAGTTTACAAGACATAGTAGTATTTGATGAATAGAGAAAAAAAAAAGTTAGCTAAATCATAGTTTTGATTTAAAAAAAAAAATTCATAGGAATTCAGGCAAGTCTGCTTTAGTTTTCTTCCCCTCTTGCTGACTTAAAACAGAAACCAGAATAGG